GAGAAGAAGGCAGGCCTCTCCGGCTGGAGTAATGCAGCTTTTGGGAGGCAGAAAGAGTTCCCACAGGTGCCTCCATCAGGCCCGGGCTCCCCTTCCCAGATCTTCTCCCCACCCATTCCTACTGGTTCTGGCCCTCCCTTCCTCCCTTGGCCTCTCCTGCCTTGGGGTCCCATCTGGGGAGGGGCCCCGGGTGATGATGTGGCTCTGCCTGGAAAGGTGAGGTGTCTGCAGGTGTCTGTGTTTTATGTGTTGGGTTCACCCTAGACTGATGGTTCCTGGAAACCAGTCAGAGGGAGGTGGCTGAGTCTGCTTGTCCCTAGGGGAGCACCCCGCAACAGGACCACTGGGAGGAGGTTCCCAGGAGCCCCGGGAAAGTTTCACATCTCTCACAGCTTGGGGGAGGCAGAGGGCAGGGCCCCCAATAGGAACTAGACACAAATCATTAGTGGGTGGACCTGGGCGTGGCAGGCCCGGCCCTCAGGAGAGAAGCTGCGGAAACAGAATAGATGAAGGGAATCCCATCTGGGCAGGTGTGGCTGGGTGAGGGTGTACTTCCGAGGGGCATGCCTGGTCCCATAGGGAGTGCGTCAGGAGTGAGGTAAGGGGTGGGGGACCTATGAGCTCCTTGGTGGCCCTGCCTATCCCATCCCAGGGTAAATGGGAAGGAGCTGACAGGCACCCTAGTGTCAGGAGTCTGAGGGTGGAGTGAGGGTCTTTGAGACCCCTGAAGAACTTGGGGTTCTCTTCTCATTAACTAAACTAGGTCCCAGCTGGGAGGTCACCCCCAGACTTCTGGGCCTCTCACTTACCTGACCTCACCTGATATGGGCCCTTTCCCTTGAGGGAAAGGGTCAATGGCCATGTGTTCTCTTCCTGGGTCCCTGTGTTCATCCCAGTACAAGGCCCAGGCTCCATGACCCCAACAATTCAACACCCACCTGCAGAGCACCTGCTGTTCTGGGTTTTGGGTGGGGATGGGGGTGGGAACTGTCCTAGGGGGTGACAGTTAATGCTTGGGGTCCTGTAGGAGCCAAGGTCAGCTGCGCAGATATGGATTGGCCTTCGTCAACATCAATATGCATTTATGGAACGTCAACTGTATACTGGGGCCCTCAAGTCACTCTATACCTTGTGCCTTCCATCACCATCGTAGGGGTGGGTGTCGTCCCGGGGACCCTCCCCTAACACCCTGGTCCTGTTCAAATCGCAGTGAGGCAGGGCCTGTCCTCCACCTGTGAGCCCTGGGCTTTTCACCAGCCTCTGGAGAGGAGACTCAGGGCCTCTGGGTTAGTCAAGACTCGGGCTGGGCTGGTGTGAGGTCCCTGGGGGATGCGGGAGCTATCCCCTGGCGCCTCCTCTTCTTGGCACCTCCTCCACTGTGCTGCCTCCCAGCAGCCTCTGGGGCTGGATCTCTTCCCCTTTTTTCTGCAGGCCCTGCATTGCTTGCCTGCCAGGGCCCTCTCCCTGCTGGGGGTGGAGGACAGGCCCGGGCAGGAGAAGTCATGGCTCAGAGGCCCTCCGGCTCGCTCCTGCCAGGTCATCCTCCCTGGCAGGGAGAGTGGGAGATGCTTGGGCCCTGGTTCCAAGCGTGTCTCTGCCGTTAATACCCCGCTGCCCAGCCGCCTTGGTTTCCTCACATGTTGGGCAGAGCTGGTGAGGGCTGTCCCTGGTTTGCATAGGAGGAATGCCTACTCTTAGGTCTGCCAGGGACAGCCATGCACTCTGGAGGGCCTGAGCGGCCTTCCTGGGGTCTAACTCTGCCCTTTCACCTGGGGAGAGGGGCTGAGCTGGGCCTGTTCTTCAGCACTTGGGATGTTTCTGCCAGAGGGGGCTCCACAGAGCCGAGCAGAGGGCCTGGGAGTCATGGGTGCGGGGAAACAGAGGCCCAGACCTGGCCACGCAGTCTGACGTCAGGGGAGAGGGAGCTGGAGAGGGGCGGGTAATGGTGATTTTGAAGAGAGGAAGGAAGGTTTGACAGATTCTCTGCTCCTTTAAACTGGGCCTCAAGACTAAGGTCTGAGGGCTTTGGAGGTGGNTGCTGTTCTGGGTTTTGGGTGGGGATAGGGGTGGGAACTGTCCTAGGGGGTGACAGTTAATGCTTGGGGTCCTGTAGGAGCCAAGGTCAGCTGCGCAGATATGGATTGGCCTTCGTCAACATCAATATGCATTTATGGAACGTCAACTGTATACTGGGGCCCTCAAGTCACTCTATACCTTGTGCCTTCCATCACCATCGTAGGGGTGGGTGTCGTCCCGGGGACCCTCCCCTAACACCCTGGTCCTGTTCAAATCGCAGTGAGGCAGGGCCTGTCCTCCACCTGTGAGCCCTGGGCTTTTCACCAGCCTCTGGAGAGGAGACTCAGGGCCTCTGGGTTAGTCAAGACTCGGGCTGGGCTGGTGTGAGGTCCCTGGGGGATGCGGGAGCTATCCCCTGGCGCCTCCTCTTCTTGGCACCTCCTCCACTGTGCTGCCTCCCAGCAGCCTCTGGGGCTGGATCTCTTCCCCTTTTTTCTGCAGGCCCTGCATTGCTTGCCTGCCAGGGCCCTCTCCCTGCTGGGGGTGGAGGACAGGCCCGGGCAGGAGAAGTCATGGCTCAGAGGCCCTCCGGCTCGCTCCTGCCAGGTCATCCTCCCTGGCAGGGAGAGTGGGAGATGCTTGGGTCCTGGTTCCAAGCGTGTCTCTGCCGTTAATACCCCGCTGCCCAGCCGCCTTGGTTTCCTCACATGTTGGGCAGAGCTGGTGAGGGCTGTCCCTGGTTTGCATAGGAGGAATGCCTACTCTTAGGTCTGCCAGGGACAGCCATGCACTCTGGAGGGCCTGAGCGGCCTTCCTGGGGTCTAACTCTGCCCTTTCACCTGGGGAGAGGGGCTGAGCTGGGCCTGTTCTTCAGCACTTGGGATGTTTCTGCCAGAGGGGGCTCCACAGAGCCGAGCAGAGGGCCTGGGAGTCATGGGTGCGGGGAAACAGAGGCCCAGACCTGGCCACGCAGTCTGACGTCAGGGGAGAGGGAGCTGGAGAGGGGCGGGTAATGGTGATTTTGAAGAGAGGAAGGAAGGTTTGACAGATTCTCTGCTCCTTTAAACTGGGCCTCAAGACTAAGGTCTGAGGGCTTTGGAGGTGGGCTCTAGGGAGAGACACTGAAGGGCAGGTGGTACCTCATGGCCTGGCCCGTCCCCAGGTCCCTGCTCTGCTCCAGACCCAGTGCTGGAAGATGGCAATCCCTTCTCTGAGGGAGTGAGATCTGCCTGGAGGGAGGGTGAAGGAACCAGTCAGCCCCTGGGGGAGAGGGGCTCTGGGAGAGTGGCTCTAGTAGGGGATGGGGAGGGTCTTTCATCACCGGATGTTATTCCGTGTGAGGGTGACTAGCTGGTGCAAGGCCTGCCTCTGGCCCACCCAAGTGACTCAAGTTCTATTGGGTCCCTCTCCTTCCCCAAGATGATCTTGGAGTGGCAGGAAGTCCTTCCTGATGTCTAACTTCATGAAGCAGCTCTGGTGGTCTGACCTTGGCTTTGAACCCCTTCCCCCCACCCCTCAGCAACCCTTGGAACCCCCAGACTTCTTAGGCAGGGTGGAAGCAGGAAAGGTTGAGGTTCGTCCTTTCTCTCCCAGACGGCTCATGCTGTCCCCACACTTCAAGCCAGGAAACAACACCTTTGCATGAGAGGCCACCCACTTTCTAGGCAGGAAATCTTTCCAGTAGTCTAGTCTTATCATAGGAGCTCCAGATGCATGGAAAACCCGACTCCCTCCCTGTCCCTGTGTGTGGCGGAGTGCCCAGGCCACCTGCAGGCTTCCAGTGGAGCCAGGCTCACCCTCCCCTGCCCATCCCATGGGCCCTGGCCGCCCCTGGAAGCTCCCCATTCAGACAGGCCGGGTGCAGACGCCAGTGTCCTGGCAGCGCCTAAATCATTAGCGCCGTGGAGATTAGGCTGGTAATCTTGTCGGCGGTGACTGGTGCCAGCCGCCCGGATGTGGGATCCTGCCGCTCCCTTGCAGGGTGCAGGCGCAGAGCTGACTGAGGGGCACCCTGCCCCACAGGTCCTGCTTCTCCCCCATCATGCCTCCTTGGGGGGGGGGTGTCCTCGGGAATGACTTTCCTCAGGTGCTGGGGGATGAGCAGGAGTGGTCACCCTAACCCTCTGGCTTCATGCTCTCCCTCAGTCCCAGCTTGACTGATGTCACTTGCTCTCCAGATTCCTTCAGAGACCGTGGGAGACAGGAATTATCCCCATGTTAAATGAGGAGACTGAGGCTCATGAATTGACTTCCTATGAGCCTTGGATCCAAAGCTCCCTCAGGTCAGCAGTGTGTCTATTCCTCACAGAATAGGGGTTCCCCAGGCCAGGGCCACAGATTTGGAAGGACCCCAAGAGATCTGGGAGATCCCCAGATCAGNACAGAATAGGGGTTCCCCAGGCCAGGCCACAGATTTGGAAGGACCCCAAGAGATCTGGGGGATCCCCAGATCAGAGGCAGATTCTCCCTCTCAGCCTGGGGGCTCCTTAAGGCCTGCTGGACCTGGGCGAGGGGGTCACCCCGAGTCTCTCCACCCTCTCCCTGGGGACCAGGAAGGAAGGGTGGGGGGCCAGAGCAGCTTCCGGACGTCAGGCCTGTGGAGCCTTGTTCTATGCCTTTTCTGGCTCCCAGGGCTGGGTTCTCCGACTCCCCCAAGAATGAGCTCAGAAGCCTAATTGCTGCTGAGGATGGAGGATCACCCTACCCTGGGGCTGCAACTCCAACACCACCTTTGTTTCTGAACAATGGGCTTCTAAGAGGCCACAGCCCAGGCCAGGCTCGGGCAGGAGAGGGGGCCTGGGGGATGCACTCAGCATGTCCAGCCTGAGCCCCAGGCCCTGGGCGGCTGATACAGAAGCAAATTACACAGTTGGGGTTTTGGCTCTGACTTCAAGGGCCAGGGGCCCATCCCCCCGTAGCCTGGCTATAAAGGGCTGCCCAGGGTCTCTGTCCAGACCAGACACTGCTCCTGACCCGTGGATACCATGGCTGCCACCACCAGTAGCTTCCGCCAGTTCTCAACCTCCGGCTCTCTCAAGGGCCTGTCTGTGCCCACCGGGGGATTCTCTCGGGTGTCCACGGTCCGTGTCGGGGGCACCTGCCGAGCCCCCAGCCTCCTGGGAGCTGGAAGCCTTGGCAACATGTCGGTCACCTCATCTCGCTTCACAGCGGGCTTGGGGGGTGGCTACAGCGGGGGCTACACCTGCAACCTGGGTGGGGGCTATGGCCCCAGCTATAGTGTGTCAGACGCCCTGCTGGGGGGCGGTGAGAAGGAGACCATGCAGAACCTCAACGACCGCCTGGCCTCCTACCTGGACAAGGTGAGGGCCCTGGAGGAGGCCAACGCAGACCTGGAGGTGAAGATCCGAGACTGGTACAAGAAGCAGGGCCCCGAGCCTGCCCGGGACTATAGCCACTATTTCAAGACCATCGAGGACCTGAGGAACAAGGTGTGTGGACCAGGCAGCTCCCTGCGCTCTGCCCTCTGTCCTTAGTACCTGCTTCTGATTCATTCCATCCCAGCTGTGGACCGTTGTGAACATTTCTCTTCTATCTTAGGTCTCCACCATTCATTCACTCCCTGGTCTCAGGCCTGGAGGACATCCCATGCAAGGAGGTTGACTGGAGTTCTCTCTTTCTGGGTGGAGTGTATTTGGGGTGGGTGTTGGAGGAGTAAGCTTCAGGACCTTGAAGGCAGCAGATGGCATTCCAGGCATAGAGGACAGCGTGGGCAAAGGCACAGAGGTGGGGAAGAGTGTGGTATTGGCTGCTGGGAGATGGAATGTGAGCAGGGAAGTCTGCAGACCATTCCTCTCTGGTTCTGCTTACCTGCCTCACCTCCTCCAGGCAGTTCTCCTGGATGGATGGCACTTGCCTCTTATCCCCAGATCTTGGAGTTCCTTCAACACTTTGAGGTTCAGTCTATGCCCTGTTCATTGTGCTGATTTCACTGAGTTTGGCCTGTACTTATGGCTGCTTTGGTTGTGGTCCTCCTCACTCTCTCATGATGGTCACTCTGGGGGCCCCTGAGGGCAAAGGCTGTGTCTCTACTTGCAGACTAGGGGGAGGGTCCCTGAAGGAAGGAGCTGTGTCTTTCCACTCAGGCTGGAAGCTCCCAAGGGAAGGAATTTCTCTTAGTTTGATGAAGGAGACAACCTTCTCTCTCTCTTTCTCATGTACTCACAACTTCTGAGAACATGGCCTTGGCATTCTGTGAATGTGGCACTTGGGTCTTCTGCACAGACCTGCCCCTGGAGGGTCCTAGAGTGTTGCAACCCCCAGAGGCAGGTGAGAGGTCAAAGAGAAGCAGAGAGCCAGGCTTGAGGGAAGCAGGGGTGGAGCCTGGCTGGCCCCGATGGTAGGCCTGCTCAATTTCCTGGTGGAGAACCAGGCGCTGTGTTGCCTTTCGAGGGGCTTTTCCTGTTCCTGCCCGGGACCTTGGCCAGGTGGGGAATTCCTGCAGTTATTCCCTGGCAGCAGAGCTACTGGGGGTGCCAGATCAGATACTGGCTTTGGTCTGGGCAGCGGGGAACCCAGGGGAGCCCTGGTGAGTCACTGTATTCTTGATTTTATTCGGAGTCGGTCAGCTCCTCACCAGCAACCCCAGTGCACCCCGCACTAGGCCTCCCCCTCTCTGAGTCACTGCACCCCTAGGGGTTTTAGCAAGGGCCCCTTGCTGGACCCAATTGGCATCCTGAGCAGAGAGGTGAGTGGGATGGACCCGCTTAGACCTGGGTTGGGTAACAAACTGGCCTTCGGGCTCAGTCTGGAAATGGGATTGGACCAGGTCACATTCCAGACCCAGGATGAACCTACTGGGGCTGCTTTTGCTTGCCAGGGCTCCCCTCTTACACCTCCTACACTTCAGCTCTTGGCTTTAAAAAATTCCAAATTCTACTTGGCTAATCGGCTCCCTCTGAGCCTCACTCTGCCCCCTCCCGACTCCATGGCCCTTGATTGGAGCTTCTCTGGGGCATTTCTCATAATAACAATGATGGCAGCAGTAATAATAACTAATCCTCTGCTCCTTTCAGAGTCTTCCATGTTCTCATTTAAACCTACCAATGACCCTGTGGGAAAAGACAACTTTGCCCTAGGTTTGCAGTGGGGCCAGTTGTAACCTCATTAATTAACTAATTAATCACTTAATTAAACTAGTGTTTCCTGGGGGCCAATTCTGGGCCAGGTACTGTGCCCAGGGCTGGGGATTCTGAAGGGAACAAGATGGACATGGCCTTGTCCCCTGGAACTCAGAGTTTATCAGAGGAGGAAATCACCAAAAAAAGTCATGGAAAAATCACACTTGAGAGAAGTGCCGTGAAAGAGAGATGGGCAGGGAGAAGATATGTCCAGAAGGAGGGACCCAGATGGGGAATTGATGAGGGCTTCTTGGAGGAGGTGGCAACTGAGTCTAGAGGGAAGGCTAGTTGGGAAAGAGGGAGTGAAGTCCAGGTGGCTTGGGCAGTGACCCCATGGTTGTTGAAGGGTATATATGGGTCTCTCTCCTGGCATCCTGGTTACCTATGCCTGGGCATCGTGGCCCCACCGCTCTGTGAGTCCCCCAGCCAGTCCTCAGAGGAGGAGACCACACCATAGGGACCTTCCTTCACTCTGGCACACTCTCCAAAGGGCTGCAAGAGGGATGTTGCAGGGCCTTCCTGGGGCTGCTGAGGGTGCTTGCTCATGGCACCCATCACCTCCCTAGATCCTGGCGGCCACCATCGACAATGCGAGCTTGGTGCTGCAGATTGACAATGCCCGCCTGGCAGCCGACGACTTCCGCAGCAAGTGAGTCTGGGCCTCCAGGGCTGCTGGTGGTGGGTCCAGCTCTGCGCAGCGCAGAGCCCTCTGTGTGTGTGAGGGGGTGGCCTTGTGATCCTCCGTGGCTCATGCCTCCACCCCTCCCAGGTATGAGACGGAGCTGAACCTGCGCATGAGTGTGGAGGCCGACACCAACGGCCTGCGCCGGGTGCTGGACGAGCTGACCCTGGCCAGAGCTGACCTGGAGATGCAGATCGAGAACCTGAAGGAGGAGCTGGCCTACCTCCGGAAGAACCATGAGGAGGTGAGGCCAGCTTGGGAATGGATGCAGGAGAAACTTGCTTGGGAACAAGCAAGGCTGAGGCCTCCGAATCTTCCTGGGCCAGGCCATGCTCTGCATCCAGTGCCCATCCAGGGCGTGTTCCTGGTCCTGACCTGGACGACCGTCAGGGGCCCACAAAGATACTTCCCATATCCCTTAAGGCATGGCTCACTGTGTGGTGGCAGTTAACTATCTAATGAGAAAATCTGTCTAAGAACATGCATGCTAATTATTGCAATTAATTATAATGATGATAGAACAAGGAACACCTGCCCAGCACATTACAAGTGATTCACAGCAATTATTTCAGCTGATATCGACACCTGTGCTGGGAGAAGGGCGCTCGATTCTCCTTTTACCGGTGAAGAAACAGGCTCAGAGAGGTTAAGGCATTTACCCAAGGCTGCACAGGCGTCTTCCCTCTGATCTGTCTGACCCACATCCACATCCAGGTCCAACTCCACAACTCTGCCACCTCTCCACTTCCTTTTTCAGAAAAGTCTGGAACCCCGGGAACCCAAGGCTCAACTCAGGACCCTGCAGGGGGACCCATGAGCTTGTAGCTTCCTTCTTAGCTGACCTCTGGGCTGCCCTGAGCTAGGGGAGTCCAATTCCTTAGTGGCAGGAGCCCAGAAAGCGTCTTCAATAGGCTTTGAGGCTAGTTGTAGGGATTGCATTTTCTAATGAGGCCTGGTCTTCCAATTGACTTGGGGCTACTTTCCCCCTGCTGTGCTGTGTGGTTGGCAGTGGGTGACAAGGGTAGTGCCTGAGCTTGTCCTGGCTCATCCCCTGACAGAGAGTTGGGGATGGACACACAGTACACATTGGGGATGGACCCCGAGTGTGTGTTGGGTAAGATGTTTGATATCCACAGCCCTGCATGTTTGAGACATGGCATCTGCCTCCACCTTCAGGGTGAGGAGCTGTTGGCCTCTCTATGTCTGTCTGTCTGTCATCTACACCTGTCTCCCCAGGTGGAGAAGGCAGGCCCCAGGGTCTCTCCCCGGGTGGCCCTGGGTGAGCTCCTGCCCTCCTCTCTGCTCAGGAAATGAATGCTCTGCGAGGCCAGGTGGGTGGGGATGTCAGCGTGGAGATGGACGCTGCCCCTGGCGTGGACCTGAGCCGCATCCTGAACGAGATGCGTGACCAGTATGAGAAGATAGCAGAGAAGAACCGCAAGGACGCTGAGGACTGGTTCTTCACCAAGGTGGGTGGCCATGCGGGAGCAGGTGTGCTCACTCGTGTGCGTGCATGTGTTGTGTGCTGAGTGTGGGCTGGAAAACGTGGAGCTCCACACACTGTCCCATCTGGAAGGACCTTTGGAAACCAGTTGGACTAAACCTCATGTTTAGATGCAGATTGTGAGGCTCAGAGAGTCCTCAGGCTCACCCTCCCACCCCCCACGGCCTGGGGAACTGCTCCAGGTCTCCTCACCCCAGCGAGGGCTCCTCCTGCACAGGCTTTTGTAGGTATGTGTGTGTTTGGATGCATAACTCACACCCTTAGAAAACACACTGAGCAGCTACAATTCCCCTGGACAGTAACAGGCACAAAAAGACTAAAACCCAGGACCTGCCTTTGAGCAGTGCTCGCAGCTCAGGAGAAGTAACCAGTGCAGATGAGCACCAAGCAGGGTGAACTCCACGAAGTTCCCATGTGGGTACAGAGGGTGTCTGTGTGCAGGTGTGTTTGGGGCCCCACAGAGGCCAGTGAGGTGCTGGCGGAGCAAATCTGGGAGGTCAGGGCTCAGGGTGGCCCCTGTCCTCGGCTCCACCTCCACAAGCCTCCTCAAGCCCCTGTGCA